CTCACCTTCCTCTAGGGATGAAAACAAAATCCGAACCCACGGGTACCCACCCTACCCAACTCGGTCAACGCGGGTAAAATCCGTGTTGACGGGTTTTGGGCCGGGTTTGGGTTTAAACCCGTTCAATATTCATCGGGTTGGGTTGGGTTTGGGTTTAGGTAAACCCGACCCATGGGTACCCGCCCACACCCATATAATTAATTTTCTTGATATATTTAATATTCTAAACAACTTATCTTATTTATGTTTGTGGAGACATGTCTAATTTTTTCTTTCTAATTGTGTAGAATGAAGTTGATGTTATCGAGTGGAGAGTGAAGAAAATTAATTGAAAGGAAGAAGCTTTCAATTAATCATGTTATTTATGGATAATTTGTTATTTGCTTGAATTTTCTAGAATGGTATTTTATATATGGATAATTTGTATTGAGAAATTGATATTTGACTTTAATTTTGATAGCAACTTGTTATTGTAAATTTTTTAAGACAAAAACCTGTGGGTACCCATGAACCCGCGGATACCCATGGGGTTGAGTTGGGTTTGAGTTTTTCAAACCCAGTGGATTTTACCCCGAATTTTTTTCACGGATAAACCCATGAATTTGGATTTGAATTTGGCAAAACCCGACCCATTGCCATCCTACCTTCCTCCGGCCAACTGGCCGGGGCCCACACTAGTTATGTAAAAATAATACATACATATTTGAAAAAATGCATAATATATAACTCAATTAAATAACTAACACAAACTCGTACAAACGATCCGATCTACTGAGCTACACAAGCAATAAATATTGTTTTGTCTCATGCGAAAAGCAACAAGTTTCAGGTGCACCAAACTATTGGTGAACAAAAGTTAAAAGTTAAAACCAAAGCAATTAATTACCAAACACAACCTCCTTTCATCATTTGCCTTGTTTCTCACTTTCAAACAAAGCGAGTTATTAAATACTCGTCCTTGTTTCTTTTGACATTTTAAAAGAAAACATATTCAACCTTAGAGCCCCGACGCGACAATCATCTGTATCTCCATTCTTTAGTTGTCCGTCATTTGTTTGTCCTTTGGCTGGCATGGCGTGACAAGTACAAGGAAGGAAGTCCATTTGTTAGCGTAACATGAACACTAATAATAATATTTGGTCGCCATTGTATTCGTAATTACTTAGGTTGATGTGCAATATCTGGAAAGTAAGAAGCGAGTTTTGGATTATTTTCGCCCAACATGATAGTCCACGACGTTCCTCTGTATTTTCCAAAGGATTACGGATCAGAAAATATAGGAGTTGTTTGGATGGATTAATTATTTTTTTAATAAATAGTTCATTAATTATTTATATGGTATTTTAGTTTTTCAACATTTGGTATTTAAAATATATTGTTTGAATGAAACATTCATATGTGGTATTTGTCAATAATATAGCGTAAAACGAGCTATTTCCAAATAACGCATCTCGATAAAATGTTGTCAAACGAGTTATTTGTTTGTGCCAAATAACTCATTTTTAATTATTTGTCTCAAAATAACTTACCTAAATACCTCATTCAAATGACCTCATGACATTTCTCTATATTTTCTTATGGGTAATCCATTTGAAATTTTGTTCATCATATCAAGTGGGTCTATCGGATTGAATTGAAACTAACAAATTGCTTTTGTGTTGGACCGATTAAATCAAATTTGGTTCAACCCCTCAAATTGTATGTGTGGTGATAGTTTTAGCTTTGAAAGAAGTTTTTTGTAACCCAAAACTTTGCGGAGGGTGAAAATATTATTTAAGAAAGCGAACGTGGTTCATGACTCCATAATATCTCTAATATGATAGGTCGAATCTTTGAAGGGAACCTGCTCCGTTATATGGAAAACTAGAGAATTTTCGACGATGAAAATTTCTATCGATGGCAATAGAAGATGTGTTTTCTTCCTACCGGTGTAGTCAATCGCAGTTTGAAGTTTAAAAGTTTACGCTTTTACGCTTCTAGGTTATCCAGATATTGCTATGTAGAATCGCGGATTTCTCATTCTAATTTAGTCAAAATTGCGATTTAAAACTTAAAAAAGCTTATATTTTTATGCTTCTAGGTTAACAATATGCTTTTACTTAGAGTCTTGCTTTTGACTGCATTGTTTTTACTACTCTCAAGGTGTACTCCGTATCGTCAAAAAAGCTTGGAAGAGGAAGGAGTCGAAGATGAGGAAGGAAGAGGAAACTTCATAAAATGAAGAAACCAAAGAATGACAATTACCTTTGTGTAGGTCACATACTCAACATATTTGTATGATTCCCTATTCGACATTTATGAAGTCTATGAATTTTTTTTTCTTTAGTTTGATGATGTGGTTTTGTCTACTGATTTTATGTTAAACCAAGGTGACAAAATGTATGTAAAAAATTTGATGATATGTCAATGGAGTCATAATATGTTTGTCCCGATGGGAACTGGCTCATAATCACCATCGCCAACTCGCCGTCGATAAGCCTATGTCGGGGAAAAGGTCGGTGGAGAGTTTGTAGTCGGTGACTACGGAAGTCTGGATATGACAGGGGAATCTAGGAATCACGCCTTTTAGCCACCGAATTTTCTAATCCTCCCAAGTGATTGTCGTGTCCCGGCGGTGAGATCTGTACCATTGGAAGTAAGAACAACGATGATTTGTGAAATGGAATTCTAGTGTCTTGGGTGTTTCTCATTCATAGTTGGGTTAAAATACTCAAGCTTGGCCCTACAAAACAAATCGTACCGGCTTGATTTTGGAGAGCAATTAACTTAAAACAAACATAACAACTCATACTAAAACCTAAAACTAAACATTGACAATAAGACTAAAGTTGATGATGAAGTAGGGGAGGATGGTTGGTCATGACGGAGAGGGTTTAGGGAGGGAGAAGGAAGCCTCCGCCGGCAGCCTTTCCTTGTCTCGACTCTCTTTGCTTGACGACGTATGTCGAGGAGAATGGGTTGGAGGTCAATGAGGGAAGGGGAAGAAGCAACGGGTCAAGAAGAAAGGGTTGGGTTGTGTTGTGTTGTATGACATGGTGGGTCACATTTTAAGATGTGGTGGGTTAAAAGTGGGTGAATTACCAGTTATATTAGACACGCCAACAAAACACTTGACGAATAGTGATCAAACCTGGAATGTGAAACTAATCCCAGTGACCAACCTATGTTTAAGGGTTCAACTTAAAGGCCATGTTTAGAGATTTTGTATGTTTAGTGAACAAAGATAATTTGATGATGGAGATACACGTTTTTTTTAATACAATATACAAGTTTATTTTAGACAAAGATAATTTGATGATGGAGATACACGTTTTTTTTTAATACAAGATACAAGTTTATTTTAGGATTGCTTGAATTAGTAATTGTGTTTTCCTCATTGATGGCTTCATGTTTAGTGACAAAAAATGTCATGTTCAATTTAAAAAGTAATTACATCAAAATATTCGTTTTAATTAATTACTATTAAATATATAAAAATATTGACAATTGATCGAAATAAAATGATAAATCTACACTAAATTAGTTTTCGACAAAAAATAAATTGGAGGAATTTGGCTCTTTTTATTGGAGCAAAATCAAGTTTTATGGAGTCAAAATGCCAAATCTTAGGGGTTGTTTGGAGGATGTGATTCTCCAAATTGGTGTATTTCTCCAATTAATGTATTTGAAAGTGATGTATTGAATCAATGTATGAAATTCAGAAATACCTTGTTTGGAAGATGATAGTGTACTTTTTTGTAAAACAAAAAACAACACTTTTCTGAAGTAAAAAACACAAATACCCATCAATTTTTAATAGTTCTTCTCCTCCAACTTGTATATGCGTTTGGAGCTGGCAGAAGGAGTTCTTTTCACCCAAACAAAGAAAAGAGAAGTTGCAGAAGGAAGATTCCGCCGTTGCAGTTGAGAGAGCTGCACCCACCGTCAAGCATCCAGCTTCATCCAAATGAGCTCCTCCCGACAAAGCCGACTACATCCCGATGAGAACGAGGAAGAGATTTTTGTCAGCTGTAAATGTGGATCTCTTATCGTCTTCAAAACATCACATACACCTGGTAATCCGAATCGAAAGTTCTTTAGCTTCCCTAAATGGAAACCAAAGCAGGTAGTTTGTTCGGTTGATTTGATTGGTGGTTCCAGATGTGTTGTATATCCCTGGGTTTCAGCTTTGGGTTTGCTTAACTAACTGAGCTTTTTACGTTTGCAACTAGAGATAGCTTGTGAATTTTTTTTGTGGCACGATATAGGGGTGGCTATTGAGAAGGAGAAAAAAGTACGAAGCCTTGGTCAATGATTTGAACATGGAAAACACTCGTTTGCGTGAAGAGAATGAGGTCCTCAAAGCACGAAACAATGAACTTCAGGAATCTATTGTTGAACTACCAGTGGGAAGCTTGCAATTGAGAAATAAGAATTGCCCAGAACAACATGTCTCTACTTTGAACAATGAATTTGATGGTATTAGAGCTAGGTTTAGTTTACTAGAGTCCATTGTATTGGTAGCTCATGTTGTAGAGTAATTATTCTGTAGTTTGGCCTTCTGACTTTTGTATGTTCATTGTAGTAGTTGTTGTTAGGTCTCTTTAATGTTTGAAGGGACAAGAGTTGCAGAGTAGTTGTTTTGTTGATCAATGTGTAGTTGTTGAGCAATTTAAGATTCTATGTTTTCTGTAATGAATGAAGCTTTCTGTTGTAATGAAATAGTTGGTCTTGTTATGTTGTTTGATTCAACTAAGCAATGTCATAGTTGTTGCAATAGTTGTTGTAATTGTGTTTTTGTTCAACTGAGAAATGTTATAGAACGAGGAATTACTTTAACCAAAGAACCAAATTACAACATCCCATTTCCCTTACATAATCCTGAGCTATAAGCCTTACAGTAGGAAAAAGCCATCAATAAATGAAGGCTTCAAAAGATGAAGTGGAGAATTACAAAATGTAGGCAACTACCATTCTCCACTTGTACATTCATTGTCTGATCATACCCTCTTAATAGCTAATTAGTTGATTAAACGCAGAAGGAAGCACAACCTTTCTTCATTTGTAGGTAGTTGGTAGTACAACTGAGCAATCCTATCTTCCTTCATAAGGATCATTGCAGCCGACATCACTTGATCTTGTCCTCTCTTCCTTCACAAGGACCATTGCAACCGACATCACTTGATCTTGTAACAACCCCTCGACATTGGACAACTCCCTCACAGTTACTGTAACCGGCATCACATAGATAATAGAAACCTGCCACCATCATTAGACTTCACAAATAGACATTTTTAGAGCATCCAACAACATTATAATGAGCAAACCGACATATTAAAGAAAATACTTACCTTTAGCAACCTTTAAACCATTTGGCCTAATAAAGGTGTCTCTCAGAACCCTCCCATCATGGGCCGACCCCTCCCAATCAACCACTCTCAACCATGGTCCATGAAACCGTACCGGAAAAGTCACCGGTAGGGTATTTTTATGGTAAAACTGTGGTTTAATCGTAGTTCAACCGTATTATCGTTAAATACCGCATATCAGTATAGCCTCTAATACTGATATTTCGTGGTTGAACCGTCGGTACGGTACGGTTTCATGGACTCTGCTCCCAACACGATCATTCCAATTGTTTCCTTACGAGTACGGTATCTTTCTTGATTCTCTTTGGTTGCACGTACATTGATTATTTTTCCATCAAGTGCGCCAATACAGTTCTAAAACAATAAAGTCAGCAACTGCCTAACATAACCAAATTTCAAAACCAGCATAGGCATACGTTTTATAAGAGAATGCAGAAGGAATCATATACCTTGAAGTGTTTCCATTTTGGATCGTCGGAATTCTCAAGAACAGGCTTGGGTTTACGAAGTAAAAGAGAGTGAAGTTTCAAAACCGCCCTAAGAACAGTTTTGATTACTCTACAAATCATTTCTCCTGAACGACGGAAGGTAACTTGCAGTTGACGATTCTTCTCGTTATGCGCTATGGTGTAAAGGAAGATGGCCCCATTTCATCTATCTCAATATTCCAACTACACCTAAGGCCTCCCACATCTCTAAGAAGCTTACAAAGTTTCTGAAAGGTCCTACAGTTCATTCTAACAAGCATGGTGCATGATATGTCACCGTGGGAAACGATACACCGCATAAAAGAATCCCTAGCTAATTGTCTAGCAATATGCGTTTCCCAAGCATAAACATGTTCTGACCTTTGCACACATTCAGATTCTAATGCCACACAAGTACATAGAAACAGCAACTATGATTGCCTTCTTCCTTTGCTTGGGGCACCTTGCCATGACCTACAACTATACAACATGATTCTCAAACAGAGGAATAACGAGGGAACAAGAACATAAAGAGTAGATGGGTCTTAATGGACAAACCTGTTCGATTAACCCAACAACGGCGACCTTCTTCGATTCGCAAGAGAATCAGCTGCGGAAATCCTTATCCGTCGATCATCGACGAGGTCCTGATGGCGGGATGCGAGTTACCGATGATGAAATTTTGGCGGTGGCAATTAACTTGAGACGCGACAAGGAGTGCTGGTGGCCTTTTCCCAGTGGTGCCACCGCAATGGTCGAACGAGGAGGAGAGGAGTGGTGGAGTGGTTTTTTTTGCTTCTGTGGGAGTTTACAAGTGACAGGAGAGAGGGAGAGAGCATCTTTTCATGAGGGTAGTTTTGGGTTAAAGCAAAAGTGTAAGAGATAAAATTGGAATGGAAATTGTAGAACAAATCATTTGTTTACAATCTCTCCAAAAAGTAGAGATTTCCAATCATTCATTTGATGTATTGTGTGGTGGGTCCATTTAATGTAAATATAAGAATTCTAGGTTATTAATATAACTATATAAAAAAAAACAACAACTTCTCACTAATACATGAATTATTACAATACATCATCTCAAATCCTAACCTCCAAACAACCCCTTACATTCGTTGTATCACTTTGACACCAGAACAACCTATACTAGGGGTGGCTATTTGGACCGGGACCGGATTAAAAATCGGAAACTGGACCGTATAACCCGGACCGAGACCGGACCGGGATCGGGACCGGATAGTAAACAATCCAATCCAATCTTTGGGCTTAGATTTGAGGTAAAAACCCGGATAAAGACCGGATAAGAGAGCTCAACACCCAAAACTTAAGTGTAATTTGCATAAACGGTCACAAACCTTTGCACTTAGTACAAAACTTAACCAACTCCTCACCCTTTAAGGCCTTAGGCCACTCAAATCCCACAATATCAATGTAAAATCAAGACCGAATTGGGACCGGACCGGATCAAAACCGGACCGGATCAAGACCGGACTGTATCCAATCCAATCTTCGGTCCTTATATTTTCAAAAAGACCGGACTGGACCGGATCAATTTGGGCCAATTTAACCGGACCGGACCATATAGCCACCCCTAACCTATACCATTCCACAAATCAAACCAAATGGGTTTGCCAAGCTTTACTCGTAGTTGTAGTCAATCTTTTCGCATGGGAAGCTACAAACCAATTGCCAAACACGCCCCCAGTCTTCCAGGCGCAACATTCCAAACACAAACAATGGGAAAACAGTGATTTCCTCTCTCTCTCTCTCTTTGTTATTTCCTTTTACTTTCCCCTTCTTTTTTACTTTTCCCCTCTTTTGTTCTCTCTCTACTGCCGCGCTGTTGAAGAAAGACCAGAAAGGACTTCTCCCGGGCAAAAAAAAAAAAAAAAAAAAAAAACCCAGAAAGAAAAAGGCTTCAGGCAGAATAGTCGACAAACAGACATAGATCCATCCGTCCCTCTTCCAACAAATTTCCAATCACAGCAATCAACGCCCAGCCTCCCAATACCCTTTTCCGCTCTTCAACCAAAATCCTCCTCTCGCATTTCCTCCTCTCGCCGGCTGAACTTCCCGGCCCGGAAAACAGGTCAGTACTTCGTTTTTTGCTTGCCTGCTTGCTCCGATAACTTCCTCCCCTCTCGCTAGCTACTTCTCTTCCCCGCCATTGCTACGGCCGGCGCTCGTTTCTAACGTTGTTCGTCTATTTGACTTTAAGTTTGACTTCCAATTCTCTGCCTTGGATCTGTTAACTGTTCACTGCACCTTGTTCTCCTTTTCTTTTCTCTCACCGAGCTCCCCCTCTGCTCGCTACTTCTGGGTTCTGGTTCAATTCTGTTGAGTGGGAAATCGGAAATGCTACGGCGGGCTGTTCTGCTTTCCATCCTCGATTCTTTTCTTTGTCTTCGCCCCCCATAGTTTTTCGAGGATTTTAAAACTGTTGGATTTTTGCAGAGGAAAAGAATCGATTGTGGTATCGACATTTGCACCTTTCTCCTTCACCTCTTTTCTCCGCGTTTTTGTTTTGGCCAATTTGTTTTTTTCTTTCTCTTGATGTTTCTGTTTGCCGTGTTGACTGTGACTGCTTCCATTGATTGACTTGCTGGCCTGGTCTTGGGTCAATGGCCTTTATTTTCTCGTGCATAACTCCACAACTGGGGATTATTGGGCTATAGATGGTTTCATGATGGGAGTTAGAAATCAATGTGAAAGTAAAAGCAGTACTTCGAGAGTGATTTTCCTTTTCAGAAGTTTGTTTGTTCTCTGGGGAAACCTAGGTGGGAGGAAGCGTACATTGGTGACAAGTCGAGATTAAAGTGCGGCAGTTGGTGATTCGTTATTCATTTTTAAATGAATCAAACCTTAAGATAATGCGTCTGGTGCGGGTCTTCATTACGACTTTGGGGCAGGATTGCGGTCTTCTTGGTTTTCTATGCTGTATTTGCCAACTGGGTCAGCATCTTTCTAGTTTTTGAGGGAAGTCATTGATGATATTTATACTGGCCGTGTTGTTGATTTGCTTGGAAGTTTTAAAGTTTTAGGTTTGTAGAGTTGAACCGCTGAAAAGGGAAGACCAACTGCTTTGTGACAATGTCCCCGTCCAATAGGAGATTGGGTAGGTGGGTCTTGACTGCAACTGCCTACCGGTTATCTCTCTATGTTTCATATTCAAGGGAGCAAGCATCTTGAGAGGTCTTCTATTTCTTTGGGTTCTCACGAGTTCCATTGATTTGAAGTTTGGAAGAGAGCTCGTATTATTCTCTTGTACAGTATTGGATATGATGCATGACATCAACTTTATATGATCTTTCCTTGAAGACCTCTCTCTGTGATGCTAGTGTCTTGTTCTTGGAGTCAGGCTCCTAAATGTTTGGTAGATTTTCATTACTTTGCTTTTACTCTCATTTCCAAGTTTGGTGTAGCTTTCCTCATTCATACTTCAGACTCTTGTTTGATCCTCAAAGTCTTTCTGCCTTTTTTTTAGGTTGAATTTTAAGTTCCACAATTGTCTAATAGATTGCTCATTTTGGACTCTTGACTTAGGTGTGTAATCTGCGTTTCACAACAAGAAGTTTCACATAGAAGTTAATGCGATTGGGCGCTGGTTACTGATGTGCATGAGCTGTAATCAATCAGGCCAGTAGCATACCTGGGAGGTATCGGGCATTTCTGTACTCTTTTATCTCCATAACACCGTCTGCTAAAAACTGGAAGATGTGAAAGTTTCCATGGAATTTAGCCTTTAACCAGATGGAAGAATCTGTCTTTTATCTTGGTAACAGTGTCAACTACTTGTGCCAGATAGATCAACACTTTTCTCCCTCATTAGCACCTTGGCGTGGTGCCCTGCAGAGCATGTTTCGAAGACATTCATCCATGTGACAATCAACAATTAAGGATTATATGTTCCTTTTGAGCTCAATCACAGCAGGAGGAGCATATAACCATTTTGGTATTCACTGCCAGTTCAACAATGAAGAAATGGTATGGAGGAGTTCTGGTTGCATCCCTGTTTATGTTGCTGATTCTGAGATATGGTTTCTTGAACAATCCAATTGGAGAAGGTTACATGGCAAACTCTTTATCCAACTTAACTAATCCTCTTGAGTGGGTGCAAAGTACTTTTCCTCCAGCCCTTCAAAGTCCACAAAACTCATCTCAAGCAATCTCCACAAATGCAATTGTTATTAGTTTGTTTGCCATGAGAAAGACACTTTCAAATGAAGAGAAAGTATCCTTGCATACATGGACTCTGTTGCAAGGCTTGGTTAATGGTTCTCAGGCTTTACCAAATGGATTAGATGCTATCAAGGAAGCTGTCTCTGCATGGAACAATCTGATGGCTGCAGTTGAGGAGGAGAAGCTTAGTCATTATGCGAATGACAGCTCGAACAAGAGAGCTAAAGAAAAGCAATGCCCTCATTTTCTCAACAAAATGAATGCAACAGGGCTCGATAATAAGGGTTTTAGATTGCAGTTTCCTTGTGGTTTGACTCAAGGCTCTTCAATCACAATAATAGGGGTCCCAGAAGGTCTCCTTGGCAATTTCCGTATTGAGTTAACTGGAGAATCACTGCCTGGGGAGCCTGATCCGCCTATCATATATCATTACAATGTGAGACTGAATGGTGATAAGGTAACTGATGAACCGGTGATAGTTCAAAATACCTGGACTGCAGCTCGTGATTGGGGTGATGAGGAACGTTGTCCTGCACCTTCTCCTGAGAAAATCAAGAAAGGTAATTTCCAAAAGTGATCATCTTTCTTGGTAGTTTTTTGTTTTCTCTTTGACAAAGTTCGACCCATATAAATGCTTTTTTTCTGAAATTCCAATTCCATTATAACTTCTTAAGTTCGAAATGAAAGAACGTTGGAAATCCCATTTAAAAATTAGAAATATCACCTAAGTCATGGAAATGGAATCAGTGTGGGCGAGTCCGACTACAATTTTTATACTTATTTTTTCTTTCCACTGTCTTCTCTTTTTCTCTTTTACATTTCTTTTTTCCATGGCTGAAGACATACAATTATTTGTGATTCTTAAAAATTCATTTCATGGTTGAGAGAATTATTCCACCTACCAGAATTAGAATTGTAATTCTAAAAAGAATAAGGGCAGAAAGTTTCCCGTTTCCATTTCGTGTGCAATTGTTTCCAAACTTACTTACTGTTAGTGTACAAAGACTGCCCATACTGTAGTGAACTTTTTCTATTTGGCAGTAACCTCCTGTGTATGGTTTTCCAGTGGATGAGCTGGACCAATGCAACAAGGTGGTCGGTAAAAACAGTACTATTATCCACAGTGAGGGTCCAAAGAGGTCTGCTATTCAGGACGGATCCAGAACCAGAACATATTTTCCTTTTAAGCAGAATTATCTTTCTGTGATGACACTAAGGGTTGGATCAGAAGGAATCCAGACAACAGTTGATGGAAAGCACATTACGTCTTTCGCATACCGTGAAGTATGCCTTATTGCTTTTCCTTCTCTCAGTTTTAATGATGGAATTCTTTCTGCCAGGGATTAGTTCTATTTCAACTTACCCAGTTCCCTTGATTTGGTGGCTTCTTTGATAGACTTTGGAGCCATGGCTTGTTAGTGAAGTTAGGACTTCTGGAGACCTGAAGTTAATCTCTGTTCTAGCCAGTGGTCTCCCTGCAGTTGAGGATTCAGAACATTCGTTAGATTTAGAAGCACTCAAAGCATCTCCTCTCTCCCCAAAGCAATCACTGGATCTCTTCATTGGTGTTTTCTCCAATGCAAACAACTTCAAGCGTAGGATGGCTGTCAGAAGAACTTGGATGCAGTATGCTGCCATACATTCAGGAGCAGTCGCAGTTCGCTTTTTTGTTGGCTTGGTGAAGCTTTGCTCATGCACTTCCATTTTGCATGAATTATTGCAACATAAAAGTGTGATTAATGAATCTCTATTGTATTATTACAGCACAAAAACCAAATAGTAAATGAGGAACTATGGAATGAAGCAAGAACGTATGGGGACATACAGCTGATGCCTTTCGTGGACTACTATAATCTTATCACATGGAAAACGTTAGGAATCTGCATCTTTGGGGTAAGCAGATTTTCCTTTATCCTCTTTCTGTTGATGTGACCACGTAACATGAAATTTGCATGCATTAACCTCTTTCGTGAACAGACACAAGTTGCATCAGCAAAGTACGTGATGAAGACTGACGATGATGCATTTGTTCGTGTGGATGAAATCCTTTCTGCTTTGAAGAGAATCAAAGTGAATCATGGATTGCTTTATGGACTCATTAATTCGGACTCCCAACCCCATCGAAATCCTGATAGCAAGTGGTACATTAGCTCTGAGGTAGTTTCTTAGACCATATGTTTCTCTTCTTTCCCGTCCTTTTCTTTTGTCATCTCCTTTGAACTAATACATTTGTGTTTCCTTGAAAAAAGGAATGGGCAGAGAACAAATATCCCCCGTGGGCTCATGGTCCTGGTTATGTCATCTCTCAAGATATAGCGAATGCAGTTTACAAGAAATACAAGGAAGGTCGTTTAAAGGTATTTACACATAAACAAGCTGAATCCCAGTTTGTTTACATCTCCAAACAAACATAGCAACCATGATCAGTTCGAGTCCTCTTATCTTTTTCTCGTCGTCATAAAAATTGCACCAGATGTTTAAACTAGAAGACGTAGCGATGGGGATCTGGATTGCCGAGATGAAGAACGAAGGCATGAAAGTACGATACGAGAAGGAAGATAGGGTCTGCAACGAAGGATGCCGAGATGGCTACATTGTTGCCCACTACCAAGGTCCTAGGGAGCTGCTGTGTCTGTGGCAGAAGATCCAGGATGGAAATGTGGCCAAATGCTGTGGCGATTGAGAAGGCAGGTTCGTCATCCCTTAACCGAGACCATTAACTCGAGGATTCGCTAACTCCGGTTTCGGCACCATCATGATATCATCTCAGTACCAGTTAGCAATAGTGACCCCATTGTACATAGAGAGATCTTATCTAGTTTGTAACATATAGGCCACACCATAATATTCATGTATCATCAAGCACCATCAGTTTTGCCTCTTTTTTTGTGTATTAATCGGCCTCCTCTTATTGTTAGGTCCCGTTTAGAATTAGCCCTTTATGATATAATGTATCGAGTTTATTGCTGTGGCAGTTGAGTTATTGGAGTATGATAGCAGTTTCTTCCGAGTTTGGCTACTGTATCTTTGTCGTTGTGCTTAATTGTAAGGCTCGCAGATCCGATCTTTAATATGGTCTCAAAATCCATGAGAAGAATCGAATCAACGAATATTGTCAAGTAAAAAAATCCACTCCTACATTTTCTTTAAATTCTTTGCTGTGGTTCATATCCAAAGAAAGGGCCAGAAAGCAACATAAATAAAGAAACAGCATAATCCTCCATTCATGAAACTAAAATACGCTACTAACTAATGTTTTAAAAATCCTATCGAACCGTTCGATCCACATAGAAATACCATATACTGGCCCCATATAGGTAGGCGGTTGATACAGTAGTGGATATGAAATAGTTGAACCACGATTAAACCAAGATTTTAGCACAAAATATTCCTATTGCTGAATTTTCTAGTACTATAACCTCAGGTAGAAGTCCTAAAGGATACATAAATAAACAGTAGAATCCTCCATTCATTCGAGGAATCTGAGGATCGATGATTGTTTAAATTGAATGCCTAAAACTTAGGTATGGCAATGGGGCGGGTTTGGGGAAGGTTTGCCTAAACCATCTTCATTCGCGTTCAAATATCCAAACTCATACCTGCCTGCCCCATACCCATCCAGGGGAAGTTTTTGCAAACTCATCCCTATACCCGTAGGTTTCAAGTACCCATATATAATACCCGCCCCGTACATGCAAAATTATAATACCTTAAATTTTACTTGTACATTTTTGTTAGAAACAAAGTTTCTAACGGGTTTCCGGATCGAGATTGGTGTTTGGGGAATTAGGGGTTATAGGATAAAATTGGGAATTTAGGGTTGAGAAAGATAAAACTAGGGAGTAGGAGAAGGGTTTGGGGATTTGGGGAAGAACGGCCTAAGCCTTTGGGGAAGAAAGAAAGACGAGATTGAGAGAGAAGAGAGTAGGGTTTGGGGATAAAATTCTATTAATCTTTTGTTTAATCGTAAATGCATGCCCGAATACATATTTATAGGCAAATACTGGAAATCCTTATAATAAACCTAAACTTAATCACCAAGTTATTGATATTCCTAATAATTATCCTTACCATAAATAATAAGAAAATCCCACAAAAGGTGGGTTTCTAACAATTCACCCCCCTTAAAAGCGACATTGTCCTCAATGTTGCAGTCAACTTTCGTCTTCTTGACCTTCTGCTTTCTTTGTTTCCAGTTGCGCTCGACCCCACAAGTGAACTCTTCTCCAGCAACTTCAACTTCCCCCGACTCTTCTCTAACTGCATGACACATGTCACGTCCTCCACAGCTGGACAAGTCTTCCTCCTCGTCGAAATCCACATAATAAAATAAGAGAACTGTTCTTCTTTATCCTCCAACTTGAAATATTCAAGAAAATGCTCCATAAATTCCTCTATGAGCTTGGTGCCGAGGACAAACTCTAGCTTTCCCCACTCCTCTTCTCCTTCACTCTTGGATCAGACCTCACTTGCTTGGAAGAAGGAATTGTGGCCCAAACCAATGTCAAGCCCTTTTCTCCTCCATTCTTCTCTAATTGAGTTTGGGCTGAACTTCCCTGGCAAGCCCATTTGCCAAAATAAGACCTCCCTCCTAGTATGCTTTCTTCCAAACGCAACCCATTGGCGGCCTAAACCTCTCCTAAAAACTCTGCCCATTGCCTCCTCGAGCCCAATTCACCCATTTTCCCCCAACTACTGCTAGCACCACATAATTGAGCCCATGAGAGGCCCTTTTCAGCCCGAACTATGGCCTGTATAATGATTCATATGGCCCAACATGAGCCCAAACTTCTTCGGCCCGAGAGGTGATCCTCTAAGACTTGTGGCCCGAATAACCCACATCCTGCCGTCTCCGTTGCTAGGAGCTGCTCCTTCTTCGAGTCTTCCATTGGAGCCGAGCAATCCGCCTCTTCCTTCGACGATGGCTTCTTCACCTCGTTCTTCGGAAACGCCTCCTCACTTCCTTTCTTTAACGACGAGCAGCTCACCCTTTGAGTTGGAGCCGATCCTGGAGTCACTCCACGTCCTTCGCCTATTAATCTTTGTTTAATATCAAATGAACTAGTTTTTTACCCGCCCGTTGGGCGGTGTATTTTGTTTGGGTTTTTTATAATTCATTATAGTATTCTAATTGTTATTATTATTTATGTTTGCTAAGGTAATATACATGGAATTATAAATCCCACTTACCTTATTTCATGTATTATTTCATACTTTTATACCTTTTGTTTATTTATGAACATTTTAATTTTATTAGCTGAGCTCTTTGTAGACGGTTCTTTATTGATTTAGAATTTTTTTTATCAAACTCGCCCTTTAAGATTATAAACATAAGAGATTATTCATTCTTTAGTACATAATTGTGATAAAGAAGTTAAAAATCTTACGGCCACAAAAGAAGAAGTTAGAATAAGAAAATATGCTTCAATTAATAAAAAAAATAAGCGAAGAGCTTTTTATTTTCTCTCCCTTCTCATATGTCAGTATATGATAATTGAGAATATTCCGATCTAAATCTCATGAATATCGTGTATTATCACTTACACATACAATTTTGGAATAATGAGGAAACTCATTAGCATCTACGTCCATCAATCTTCCACGTACTTGTTTAATTACCTTGAAATGTTATAGCAAAACCAACCACAAACAAAACTATCAGCTGTCACTAACTTATTAAAACAATATTTTCAGCAATTTAAACTGCATATAATTAAACACAATTTATATTTTGTAGAGAGCTACATATCTCCTGCAGAAAAGAATTGTGCTTTATATTTTATTACCTAATAACAACATAGACAAATAATGAAAGGAGTAGTCTTCAATACCACTCAACTCATTTTTATCATTCAGATTCCTCATTTGTGAACTGAATATATGCATCAATCCATATAGTAGTTTGTAAGAAAACAATCATGTCAAAATCAATCTTTAGTTAGGGATTCAATGCAGAAAAATTCACCTTAATGAAACAAACAAATGTCACCGCAAACATGTAGAAATTAAAAAAACATCGAAATAGACAACCGAGAAACCACCATTATCATTGTCTTTCTTCTTTGCGACCTTTATAAAACCCCAATTATGTTCCCTTCTGCTTATAACCCCTTTGCTACCTACTAATTACTAATCAGATCATCATTGTATAGCCAGCTAATAGTAGCATGTCAATCATGAACATAAAATATAATAAACAATCATCACAACTCTACTTTCCATTTCAACATTCAAGAAATCGGGTTGCAATAGGCATTCAAGAAAAATGATCAATTATTCAATCAAAGAAGGTATCCCCTAAGTCCAACCAATTAACCCTTCTAATTATATTTTATATACATGAAAGTATATGGCGACCCTTCTCAGTAAAAACAAAGACGAAATATATTCACTCATCGAGAGTGGGAAAATTTACCATCCAGCAGTCATAATTTGGAAGAAATTAAGAAAAGAATGAGAAAAAGAGTATAACTCGGCCAGTCATCCGCAAACAATAACATATCGCTGAAAAAGTGAGACCAGTTGCTAGCTTCAGATCAAGGAGGAAGAGGGAGCAGTTGACAACCATCGGCTTGGTTCACCTCATCTTCACAATGATCAGATTAACTTTTTTCGTCAATAGGCAAAAATATGTTACAACTGCTAAAAAAAATCGTATGCATTACCATTTCCTTCTCTATAAATTATGACATACTTTCTTGATTTCTTATTTTCAATGTTGGATTTTATTTCTAGAGAGACAATAAAAATGGGGAAAGGGATAGAAACAAATTAAAAGTTTGCATTAATAATTAATATGTTTTCATTTAATAGAAATGAATAAGAAGTTTTTAAAAAAATAACAATTATTGCTCTATCAAGTTTATATTCAGACATTTTGCTATATAATTTATACTTGTTTTATTTGATAGGTATATACATAAGAAAGAAGTGAGTGTTTGATAGCAAAAAACATATAGCCATATCGTTCATTTCTCAAAGTCGATTGATTGTCAAAGGTCTATTGTCTCTTAGACCATCGTTTATATTTTGTATTGAAAAATATTAATATTTATGTGTGTGCTTGTTTTTTTTTCTTCATCAAAATGTAACTTATTATTAAGTTTTTGTAAAAATGAGTAGAAAATTTACTTAATCAGATTTAATAAGCTTGGGTTAAACAAATATAATATATGTCACTCTCTGTTTCCATCTTTATAGTTCGTTTAATCGAAAAGAAAAAAAATTTATTACTTAGGTGTGTGTTTTTTGTTTAAATGTTTCCTAAAAAATTAACTTATTTTAATTTTAGTAAAAATGAGTAGAATTATTAAAAGAAGAGAGAGACAACTTCATGAATAGATCAATAAATAGTTTTTTGTTTGAAAAATAATTGTCCACCTTGGCAACTTGTGCATTCACCAAGTGCTTATGTGGCAAGAAGTTATTTTTGAATAGCCATAATATTTAGTATAGATAGATAGATAGATGCCCGAATACATAGCTATAGGCAAATACTAGAAATCCTAATCATAAACCTTAATGCCCTGTTCACTTCCCATTTTGTTTTCTGTTTTTTGTTTAAAAAATGAAAATCAAGAAACAAATGCCAAAAAACGTGTTCACATGTTCATTTCATTTTCGTTGGAAAAATCCAATTGTCACAAATGAGAAAGCAGTGGGAAAACAATAAATAGACTGTTTCGTGAAAACAGGGGGACGGGTTATTCCCCGTTTCCGAGCGGAGGAGGCTCACTATTCATTAATGAGATTTAGTGTTCGATTCCCCTCGTCCGCTTTTTATTCTTCTTTCCTCTGCTGCTCCTAGACGCTGACTTTTTGTGTCGTTTTTTACATTGGAAGTTGGAACCTTAGCTCCCTCCAGACAACCAGCAGCCCCGACTCTCATCTTTATCATTTCTCTCCGAGAAGCTCCAGCTGGCGAAGAGAAGAAGCAGCAGCAACAACGAATCGTTCCCTCGTCTAGCCTCTCTCCCACCTCCAATCGGAGAACATCAAGCAACCGTCCTTTCCCCAGCTGCTACAACAGCCTCCTCTCCGGCGTGAAGCTCCCTCGAAACAACCGAACTTCCCTCTCCCCAGCAGCCTCCTCTCCGGCGTGAAGTCAAATTATCACAATA